ATTTAAGAAGCTGCCGCCTCAAAATGTTTACACCCACTTACCATCATGCATGGATTGCTGCAGTTGGTCATAATCTCTCATGATAATAAACATAAATATTGTTAAGGTGTATGCTGGATATCACTAATTAAAGAGCTGCAATTCAAATCAATTGCGCTTGTATTTCTTCAGTACTGTTATTTTTTTTTTTGTCCTTCATAGTGTGTGTATGGAAAAAAAATATTCCTTACCTCCAATTTCTGAAGTGGATGATGTGGTGTTGGGGTGAGCCAATGGAGGAGCAAAGCTGGGTCGGGATGAATGAGTAGCGGGGTTAGGTTGGGCTAGTGGAGGATTGGGGTTAGGTTGGGTAAGTGGAATAGTGGGGTTGGGTTGGGCTAGTGGAGGGGTGTGGTTAGTTTGGGCTGGTGGATGGGTGGGGTTAGGTTGGGCTGGTGGAGGAGTTGGGTTCGTTGGGGCTAGTGGAGGATTGGAGTTAGGTTGGGAAAGTGGAATGGCAGGGTTAGGTTGGGCTAGTGGAGGAGTGGGGCTACTTTGGGCCAGTGGAAGGGTGGAGTCAGGTTGGGCTAGTTGGGCTAGTGGAGGAGTGGGGTTAGTTTGGGCTAGTGAAGGAATGGGGTTAGGTTGGGTCGATGAAGGTACTGGAGTTGATACTGTGGATGTCGAGGTATGTGAGGCTGAAATCAAGAATGAGATTCTTGTCACGAGGGGTCAATCACATATTGCAACTGAGGGATATTTTTCTTGACATAATTGTGAATTTCTGACTGATTGCCTTCAACATGGTCGTTGATTGCTTCGATAGTTTACCTAAATAGGAACATGTTTTCTTTGAAAGTTTTAATTTTTTAGACAATGAGAGAGTTTAGAATAGTGCACAAATGTAACTTGCTAAAAATTCACAGCAGCAAGAAAATATCTGTACTGGTTTGCCAAGGGGCGTTTGTCTATTGGTAACCAGTGAAATATTTTGAGAGTTGGGATATAAAATGTAGATGGGTTTCAAACTCTATAAGTTGCCAATTTTGAGGATAGATGTCAACAGTAAGGAACTATAACATGTGACGAAAAAAAATTTTGAAATGGGGAGAGATAACTTCCATGGCATGAAGTGGAGGACATGAGACCAAAAGGGTTCAGCGGAATGAAGAGGACTGAGAAAGAAAGACATCATGCTAATAGTTTTTTGTCATAAAAGTTAAGTCACTTACCTGGATTTGGAAGCCACAGGAAAATTTTCTTTTTCCTTGATCCTCCGAATAATTCCAGTAGCTTCACACCATCTTGGAGGCCAGTTGCAACCTTCGACATGGCATGCCCTCTACAGTATGATGCGAATAACTCTAACCTAGAGTAAGGAAATATTAGGTATTAGTATCACCAATCATAACAATTCATTATATTGTAATTTTGAATAGATTTCCCTCATTTTACTGGAAATTTTCTTAAAACATGGCACTTGCAGAAATTACATATAGGTGGCATTTGTTAGAGAAAGGTAAAGACACTAGAACATACTGTAATCATAAAGACCAGTGTGAAATTTACATTTTATCTGGAAGGGTAACAAATGACTGGATAAATTTTTTTTTTTCCTCCTGGAAAAGTTTGATTTTCACTCTTCCAACCTCTTCATCAAAAGTTTATGATAACAGTATTAAAAAGCAAGTTAAGAATGACTGGTTATTTTCATTGATTGTGGAAGCATTGAAATAGCTGAGTAAGCGCGTCTACTATTTAGCAGAGTACATCCGGCGTTCCAAGGTATCACAGAAGGAAAATTAGCGCATGAGCGGAAATAGCATACAAACTAATGACTTGGGTTACTTAATTTACTTTTAAAATTTTGATCATTAAGCGGAAAGGGAGCTTTTAAACGCCTGAACTGTTGACAAAATTAGTTTATTTGACGTTCGTTTTTCATTGAGAACGTGGTCAACACATTGAACTCAAAAAGAGTTTCTGCCAATTGTGCGGTAACGCTCCGAACTAGAGCTTTTGAGCGAAGTGTTAGGGAACCTTTTTTGGGGGGAAGTTATCTCCAAATTTCATGAAAATACATCGAAAGTCAGCCAAAAATGAAATCTTTAGAGTTTAAATCTCAAGCCAAAAGTGATTATGCGAGAAAAAGCGACGTCTCATCAATCCCGCACGTACCTTCTACTCACAAATTATTTTCTGCTTTGTGACTACCGAAGTTAATGAGGCACCAAATTATAACTTTATAGGTTGACAGATTTTAGTTTTTCTGTTTTATAGACAACCAAACGAAATTTGCGAGAGGACAAAAAGATTTATTAGGTTCATTAGAAATTAGATGGACAAGTAGAGTCCAATTCCACTTGAACAATTTAAATCAACTGAATTCAATTTTTTGTCGTATGGGAAATGTAGAACAATTATCAGTAAGTATCATCAACTCGACAGAAACTTCATATAGCGAATTTGTCCGAAGTAACTTACACCTTGAAGCGAACTGGTTCAGAAGAAGCGAGTGACAAGATAAACAAGACTTACCCACCGAGGTCTTTTCCAACTAAAGAAGGAAAAGCGCCGCAAAGAAGATCGCCTATCTGAGAAGCGGTGTGGTTTTTTGTAAAGGCAATGTCCATCACCCGCCTGGCATTTATAAGCCGACTCATTTCTGCGTTCACAGGAACAGCAGTCCTCTTCTTTTCCAATAACACCACGGTCCTCTGAAAAGCACGTTTGCTGTAGCTCATAATGTAGCTTTACAGTGAATGTTACTAAAGCACGAAAACACAATGTAAGGACTGCAGCTGCACGCGCCTACTGAATCGTTAAAAGAACCCCACCGAACAAGAAAACTGAAGCCCTTTATCGATCGGTTGATCAATAACCAACTATTCATAAACAATTTTCTCACCTTCAAGTTTACACGAATCAACAACGAAACTGTGAAATAAATCAAATCTTGACGCGGCGGATTTCAGTCATAGAAAAGGCGGATAGAGGACACCCCTAAAACAAAAACACTCGCTTAAATTACGGCAAATGGGGAACGAAATCCAGTGTAAATCTGTTACTAATATGTAAGTTGAGACGACGCGCGATCACACCTATATTCGACAACTCAAAATAAATGATAACGAACAGACATAATAAATACTGACCAATCTGTATTTTAAGTCCATCTTGGTAGATGTAAAAAAGAAAGGAAACATTTAAGCGTCCTAGCAGTCGTTAATTCCCAAACGATCGAGCACGAAAGCAAACTCCACCACCCCCTCCGAGTGAACGCTAACCACGTCACAGCGATGACTCCCGAGGTGTGCAAGGGCGTTAATACGTATTAATGTGAAATATGTTTCACCAAACCAGAACAAGGCTGGAGCTGTTTCTATTAGTAGTAGTGTTTTATCAGAATTCTTTCAACACGAATATAATATGGCTTTACGTCAGTATACGGCCTTAGAGCAAGGTCCTGTATTGAATGTTATCCATTAGCTACAGAACAGGAATCTTCTCGCCAACCACTTCGCTGCGCACAGTGTAATAACGCAATGGATGTAAAAGAAAGAAACGATGACCACGTGGAAGGTTTTCACTGGCGAGCCAACAAGACTTCGCTTTAAATATACTATTTAGAACAGAACGGATTGAAGAAGTAACTTTATTAGCTGAAGTGACATCGGAGTAGGCGATCGTTTCAGGGTAAAATATTGCGGCAACAGTATGAGCAAACAATGAGCAAACACCTCGAAACAAGTAAAAATTCGCGGATTCGGTAATACGTGTTAACGCTTACTGGTGATAACTTTCTTATCGTGCGCGTAAAAAAAAGAGTGTTTCGATTTTTTCATTTGCAGTCAATCCTAGAAACTGCACATTTTTTCCACTGATCTAGTTATTGAGTTTATAGTACGCGGGATTGAAATAAATTTACTGGCATTTTCATACAAAAAAGCCACGGGGAGGGGGGAGATGAGAGATCACGCTCTTACGATTAACTAGAAAGAAAAAACTCATTTTTCGTGCCTGTGTCTGCTAAACTTTTCCAGAGCGGACGTTCTCCTTTTTCCGGTTTTCGTTGAGCACGCGGCACACCAAAGAGAAAGTGCAATTTTTTTTTAATCCAAAAGCTAAATAGGTCCTCCTGGTAAGTATGGCTCATTTCAAACAAATCAAATTCTGATGAATACCACACTAGCAATTTTACTTCGGTAAGCCCGCATTTCTAAAAGAACGTTTCTTTCTTTCTGTCTTTCTTTCTTTGCAAAAACTATAGCCAAATTTTATTTTTCTGTCGACTCAAAGTTGGAGCAAGTAATAATTTCGATGTGGTTAGATAAAACTAACCATGGCCCTTGGTTTCTATAGCCAAAACAATGGAACAAAAACATGTTCAGAACTCCTTCGAAAAGCATCTTGTTGATTTTTTTTTTAATGTTATCTTTAAATATGTAGTAGAAAGGGAAAGTCAAGGAAGGAGAGCATTTGTTAGACACTAACTTACACCTGTTTCAACAATAAAATGAATGTCCCATCTCTTACCATATCTCTTTTAAATATTCTGGATTATTCTCATATTAACGGGGGAGGGGTTGAGGGGAAGAGAGGTTAAGACCCAAAAAAGTTGCGTCATCATCTAGTCACGAAGTTTCGTAATTTTTTTTGTGAAAGGGAGGTGGGGAGGGGTAAGGGTTAGTATCCTCCTCATTTGAATCTCAATTAAAATGCTTTTCTCTCGTCCACTTTTCCGCCTCTGAATTCATTTTTGTAGCGATTTACGGTTATCCGTGAAATAAGAGCAGTTAGTATTTGCAACTTATTCAGACCTTTATTGAAAAACACAACATACTTAAAACTTTACAAAAAGTTTCTATTCAAAGAAAAACCAATTTGGATTTTAAGTGAAAAGTATCGTAAAAAAGTACAGCCAACCTCGTTGTTGGAATCCTAATTCTTCAAATATTTTGGGCGAATAATCAACTACTAAAACCCTGGAGTGAGCTATACGTGGCCGTAGATGCCTACTGTTATTTTAAATTCCAAATCCTGGTCATTCGGGTGCTGTCCGAAGTCGACGTCCATACTGACAACACCCCTTCGTCTACAAGCGTTGGACGGGGTGTTTCAACCACTTTCTGCACCCCCTCATCTTTAAGTAATGCAATTCTGAAAAAAATAAATAAAGTAAGGAACTGTTGAATCAGCTCTGATTAATTTTTTGAAATATTCCTCAACTTATTAAGCTTACCACAGCTAAAGTGCAACTGGCTCGTAACGCCATTTAGTTTGCTATCAATTATGAAAAAAAAAAAAAAAAAAAAAAAGAAAGCCGCTATCGATAGCCAATCGCAAGAGAGAAAAGTACCGCTAACAGACGACATCGAATCTAGATCGTGAAACGGAGTCTTTTTTTGTCAGGAAATGGATGAGTTCTATTTTTTTACTTACATCAAATGTGGCCTAAGCCTTCACCAACATTAACCTGTCCCTACCTTAAACTGATCGTGAGTGGCATCGATGAGACCAGCTGCTCCAACATAAACTTCTGAGGAGTCGAATTTCTCGCCCAAATGAATCTCAACGTACTTCTTTCTACGTTGAAGAAGGGACTTGCGGCATCTTTGCCATCAGCCAGGTCGGACATTTTAACGGCCCAACGAAAACTCTTTCTTATTTTTAAAACTTTGTGTACTGTTTCATCAGCCTAAAAAAAAAGGCAGCAAGGTATAAGTCAGTATACAGTCAAATGTCTCCTCAAAACGCTCCGCGTACTCATCGCGCAGAAGCCGCGACACACCCAGGTACCTTTTAAGTCCATCTGCGGTAAATTTGAACCGTCCTCCAAGAAAAGAGAGCGAAAAAATAGAGAAAATGGCTATAAATCGCCCACTTGCGCCTGCGTTTTTCACTCTTGATAAAAAACTAATTGCCTTAGCTATTTTCCGGCATATGGGTTTTGTAGAAGAGGTTTCAATGAACAAATTAATACTAAAGTTTGTTTTCCGCGGTTTCTATAACCATTATCGAAACCGCTTTGAAAATTAGAAATTTTAGATGCATTTGAGTATGGAAGCTGATCTCCAGGTTGAAAAATCCGATGAAGTATTCGCGAAACTTCAGAGTCAGCATATGGAAAAGTTACTTCCATTTCTCAGGAGGGCTTGTGAAAATTTTCTCTGCCGTACGAGGCTTAGAAGTACCATCAAAACCGATTTTTTTGAAGCAACCTTTGGCCACCCTAAATTTTACGTCGAGAAGCACGGTTGACCGATTTTTAAAACTCCCGCGAGTGTATTAATATATGCAAAACTCCGCCTCTGTAAACAATAGCGCGCAAGCCACTGCAATTAAGCATTGAAATTGACAACTGCACTGACAATACTGCCTTCGCAAGCTTTACAATTGACAGAATTCGGAAACGTAACCATTGGCAACGTTTATCACACCAGGTAAATCGTAACACTCTTCGTTTGCTGCAGCAACAGAAACAACAAGATCTTCCATGTAGACCATTGAGGAAAAGAAAAGAGCGGCAGCCATGATACAGAAGAATAAAGGTAAACGTCTGAAGCAGCTTGTTCCGATGAAATTTCTCGCAGAGAATTCATCTCCTTTCTACAATCGGACGAACGTCACCCACCTGATCAAATATTATTCCTCTTAGCCTCTCCACTTCTTGCTTCAGCAGCACCTGGTGACTTTCTTGGTACTGTTTATCGTGTTCCGCCTCCTCTTCAATCGCGTAAAAATTGTGGCACCCCTTTACTGTACATTTTACCACACGTTGTGGACAATCGCCAAGGTGCAGGTGGATGTGCGATCTGTAAACATGAACAAATGAGTTAAATGCATCAATAAAGACTTTGAACAAACACTCTGCTCAACTAAATATCAAGCCATCACAGTTACAAGATTGGGTAGTAATCCTTTTCCTGGTGTTCATACATTGTAAAGCAGACAAGCGATGCACCACAATAAAATCATCACCGCGCGGATTTTTATTTGATAACACATCAAATTCCAGAAGAAGTAAACAAAGAAATGACCAGGAACTTGAGTTGTGTTGTCAAATAATGCAATCGTCACTCGACAAATAACTAACTTACAGACTAAACAAAGAAGACCTCGACTACAAAGAAATCTATCATATAGTCAGAATTAAAATATGTTTGAGAAGCGAACCTAAAAGCTTTGTTCCTTTCTAACAACAAAGGGAAGCGTATTTCGTTTCTATAACAAAAATAAAAAACATGGATGGACGTTTTGTAAGCTGATCCAAACCGTAATAAATAAATTTCGATTATCTTGTGCTACGATTTAGTAAAAAGTCAAGCGAGTAACATGCAAATAAAGTTCTGCTGTATCTATTTGCGAACTTCGTAACAAATAACTTACTACCTTGCGTAAGGTAAGTGTGGTATTTTTTTTAACAATATTCTATTGTTTAAGCTTGTGACTGTTTTTTTTTTTTTAACAATAGTAGTCTGATAGTATCATTTCCCTTTCGGTGTTAGGACTCAGTTCACTTTAGAACTACTTAACGATTTTTCTCGCTAGTTTAAAACTACGGTTATTAGGGATCGATAGTTCTCTCTGGTTTAACGCTTTAATAATTCGCAATCTTAGGTTGAGTTTAGTAAGCGACGTTTCTGAACAGCTGAGTGTCAATCTATTAGCGGGTTGGGAACGAAACGATTCCCACTGGGCACGAATCAACAGAGTACGAGGGCCTGTGTGCTGCATTTTGTTGCTATAGAAACGGACAATGCTTCCTTTTGTTGTAAGAAAGGAACAACGCTTTCCGAATCGTTACTCAAACATATCTCAGTTCTGAACAAACGATCGATTTCTGTGCAGTCGAAGTCTTCATGGCAATGTCATAAACAAAGATAAAGTTTCTCAAGCTTTTACAGAAAGTCTGTGGTACGAAACGAGTGAAAAAAAAAACCGCTTCATTTTGTTGTTAGAAACGAACAATGCTTTTAGAATCTTCATGGTGTTGTCGGAAACAAATGGCGCCTTTAATAAAAAAGATTTCTCGTTTAATTGCCTAATTACAGTCTGAAAATCTGATCTTTTAAAGTATTTGATTCTACGGCCGCCGACTTTTTTCGGGCAACACGACACAGGTTCCGGGCGACATGACTTCGGGCGACTCGACCGTAAACCATTCAGATCTATCGCTTAACCGTTTCAACTGTTTCTATCAATTACTTTCTATCGCTTTATGCATCGACTTAAATTTACTGTTAGTTTCGGATCTCGAATTACGTTTGTAAGTGTGTCTTACTGTCTAGTTTTGGGTAACCTTAACTAGAAATGCATCAAGTGCCTCGGCTGTCAAACAAACTTACCTTGGTAACTGTTCTCCACACTGAAGTGGGCAGTTGTCCTCGTGGCTAGCAAGTGTCGATCTCTCCACTCCTATGTGGCAATGAAAACAAGGGACTTTTTCAAAGGGGCAGGATGCTATGTGCAGGTTCAGCGCATACCTCTCTGGTTTAACCAAGCAGCCACGAGGTCCATTGGGGCAGTCAATAACCATGAAGGGGCAAGTGTCCATGTGCATTTCCTTCTCGCTATGCATTCCAACCCAGGAGCAGCCGACATTAGTGCAACGCACCTGGATCCTTCCAATCAAAGCACTAACTGTTACGTTAACGTTTAACTTGCCCCCTTCGATCCTTGCTCGACAGAGCGGGCAGGTGCAAGGTCTCGAGCCAATGCTCTGTTTGGAGATCATCTCCAGAAGGCAGGTCTTACAAGCACTGTGCCCGCAAGGCATGGATACGGGCTGATTCATCAACTCCTTACTGGAAAGAAACAGAACCGACAAAAAAATTGTAGTTTGTGCTAAAAAAAAAAAAAGTGCCAAAAATTTGAACTGCAATGCGTAACAAGTCAAAGCAAACGGTGCCATAGTCCAAAGATGAAATCGTTTGGAGTAGCCGAGAAATTTTGCAGGTAGCTTTTTTTCGTTGTTGAGAATTTTTTATAGTAGCTTTTTATTGTTGTTGTTGTTCCAATTTGAATAACATCTTTCTTTAACAATATACTTGCCAGTCTAGTTCAAGTTCTGGTGGGTTAGGTTCAAATAAAACTACAACGATTTGTGCCTTCATAGAGCGGTTTTCGTCAATTCCTTCCTCGCAATGTTCCATTTAACTCGAAATTGAAATGCCAAAACTCGAACACCGAATGACTCAGAGCTCCAAATTCAAAAAGGAAAAAAGTAGTCTTACCATATCGGACATAGTAAGCTTTGGTCCAGGACATCTCCAGGCTCGGTTGCGACGTTAAAGGAACTTAGGCCAGACATTGTAGGTATAAATCGGAAAATCGACGTAAGGACTGCACACAGTAAATTTTCGTCACCGGAGCAAAATGAAAATGACACATCAAGTAAGTTATGGATTCTTAATAAACCTTTACTTGGGATTCATCACCATGGTGATATAATGTCGCATTTCCGTTATGCCAATTAGCGCAAATGACCATGTCACGCCCCCGAGAATGAGATAATGCGAACAGTTTAGTAATAGTAGGTAGGAGATGAATAATTTTGCTATTTTATTTAAGAAAATAACAAAAACATAGTTGTCTGACAAGCCTCTGAGGAAGCTACAAAAGATGGTCATGAACAGAGAAGATGAGCTCGAGGTTTGGTTCAGCCAAATGAGGACTTTAACAACTCGAACAAAGATAGTTTCAAGTCTATGAACAATAAACAATTAACTTAAGTGACACATCCCTGAGAGAGTTTTATAGAGACAATTATACAATTAAAAATCAATAACATCATGTTTTAAGTAACTAAAAAAAAATGGGCAATTTGAATCTTACATGTAAATCTGGTGGTTAGAGTTTAACATTAAAAATTTGGTTGTTGCAAGCTTTAATTCAATGTATAATGTAAAAATTTTAGATCTAGATGTCTAAAAGGCTGGTGGTTGCAAGCTTAAGGACTAGTACCGCATGAACCGTTCCAGGTGCTGACTTCTTAATCTGCGTTTAAAACCTAGATTGAGTAACAAAGTTTAAAAGAATCGTTCAACTGGTTGCATGAGGAAACCATTCAATAATTAATTGTTCTCTGTCCAAATGCTGTTTTAAAAAGTAGGATGTTTAGAAGGCGAGAGCTACGAGTTGTCCTGCGAGATATATCTCCTCTGTTTTCAAATAGTCTGGTGCATATCTAGTCATGCAATTTCAATCGGAACAACAAATTTTTCAACATCTCTTGGGCGGCGCTGAAAGTCTTTTAAAATGCCAAAAAATAGGTATTAAAGCGGCCGACAAAGTCGGCGCTGTGGTCGTTTGGCGGGCCGACTTCAACAAAAGAGAAGCGTCAACTTTTTGAAACCTATTTTTATGCAAAACTTTAAAAAAATCTCACCTACAGAGAACAAAAACTGTCCAAAGAACTGTGACAACCTTCTAGCAAAGCAAGAACTGCCACAAATTTAATCATCACAAATCTTCAAACAGGGCGCATTTTTTTTCCTTTTTAACCAAAAAATCACAAACCCAACAACCCTGGTCGACCCATCGTTTAAGCCTGCAGTTACCCCACCAAACAGATCTCTACCTATTTATACTCTGGGAAAAGAGAAATCACATGGAGACATATCAGTCTGGCCTAAGCTATGTAACCTTTTTTTTTAACTGAATGTAAAGCTTTGTCTCTGAGCAGATCTATAGCCTTCCTGACCATGAAAAACAAACTAAGGATATGGGGATGACGACGCTTGCATAACTCACACTCTTGTGGGAGTTTTAGGTGACAGAACCGCGCGAATGAGCGGCGAAGTAACGGAGAGAATGTGAAGGAATAAACTAACGCTCGGCCGCATAAATCTTAATTGAACGAAAAACCATTCAGTCACGCAAGCTATAGACATACAGAAGTCCTTTTCAATTCAAGAAGTCATCATTTCAAACCCCTCTTCCCTCTACCCGCCTCCAACACCCCCCCCCCCCTTATTCTTTTTCCCCTCCCATACTAGGCACACGACTGGAAATCATGTCCTCGCTAGCTTTGAAACAGGAAAAACCAAATATATTTTTGAATTTTTCTCTTCACCATAGTTTTTAATATTATCTCTTCCCCTTGATAGTCTTATATCGAGCATGATCTGCACTTCCCACTCCCCCCTCATCATGTTTTAAGTTACTTTAAAAAAAATGGACAATTTGAATCTTACATGTAAATCTGGTGGTTAGAGTTTAACATTAAAAATTTGGTTGTTGCAAGCTTTAATTCAATGTATAATGTAAAAATTTTAGATCTAGATGTCTAAAAGGCTGGTGGTTGCAAGCTTAAGGACTAGGACCGCATGAACCGTTCCAGGTGCTGACTTCTTAATCTGCGTTTAAAATCTAGATTGAGTAACAAAGTTTAAAAGAATCGTCCAACTGGTTGCATGAGGAAACCATTCAATAATTAATTGTTCTCTGTCCAAATGCTGTTTTAAAATGTAGGATGTTTAGAAGGCGAGAGCTACGAGTTGTCCTGCGAGATATATCTCCTCTGTTTTCAAATAGTCTGGTGCATATGCAGTCATGCAATTTCAATCGGAACAACAAATTTTTCAACATCTCTTGGGCGGCGCTTAAAGTCTTATAAAATGCCAAAAAATAGTTATTAAAGCGGTCGACAAAGCCGGCGCTGTGGTCGTTTGGCGGGCCAACCTTAACAAAAGAGAAGCGTCAACTTTTTGAAACCTATTTTTATGCAAAACTTTAAAAAAATCTCACCTACAGAGAACAAAAACTGTCCAAAGCATTGCGAACGGCCTTCTAGCAAAACAAAAACTGCCACAAATTTAATCATCACAAATCTTCAAACAGTGCACATTTCTTTTTTTCTTTTAACCAAAAAATCACAAACCCAACAACCCTGGTCGACCCATCGTTTAAGCCTGCAGTTGCCCCACCAAACAGATCTCTACCTATTTATACTCTGGGAAAAGAGAAATCACATGGAGACATATCAGTCTGGCCTAAGCTATCTAACCTTTTTTTTAACTGAATGTAAAGCTTTGTCTCTGAGCAGATCTATAGGCTTCCTGACCATGAAAAACAAACTAAGGATATGGGGATGACGACGCTTGCATAACTTACACTCTGGTGGAAGTTTTGGGTGACAGAACCGCGCGAATGAGCGGCGAAGTAACGGAGAGAATGTGAAGGAATAAACTAACGCTCGGCCGCATAAATCTTCCTTGAACGAAAAAAAAAAACATTCAGTCACGCAAGCTATAGACATACAGAAATCCTTTTCAATTCAAAAGTCATCATTTCAAACCCCCTTCCCTCTACCCGCCTCCACCACCCCCTTATTCCTTTTCCCTCCCCCTTATTCCTTTCCCCACCCCCCCCATACTAGGCACACGGCTGGAAATCATGACCTCGCTAGCTTTGAAACAGGAAAAACTAAATATTTTTTTAAATTTTTCTCTTCACCATAGTTTTTAATATTATCTCTTCCCCTTGATAGTCTTATATCGAGCATGATCTGCACTTCCCCCCCTTCCCCCTGCCAGAAAAATATATATCGAGCTCAGTTGCCCGGGAACAAATATTATTCAGCTCGGTCGGACGCGAGCTCGATTTGATTCGAGCGCGATTACCAAATCGAGCTCGATTTGATTCGAGCTCGATTACAAAGATTGTGACTCGAGCTCGGGTAGGCTTTCGAGCTCGAGTCACTTATATCGAGCTCGGTTGCTCAGGATCCTTCTAGTCGAGTTGTGACTCGAGCTCGGATAGGCTTTCGAGCTCGAGTCACCTATTTCGAGCTCGGTTGCCATTTATAGGCAATGTGGATATTTTTCTAATGACAAAACAAATTTTAGTTGACAACTGTTTATAACAAGGACAAGAGAGTTGCCAGGAGATGCTGTGATAGCAGGAGAAAGTACACCGCAGAGATGGAAATGGCTGGTTGATGCCGGCAACTCATCAGCCAGAAAGGTTGAAAAGCCATTTTCCAAACCTAGTGTTCGTTTGTGTTACACCTCCTATATAATTAGTTGTCGCCATGCAGTTCAATATAGGGTCGTTTTCTTTTCCCCGCTAGTTACCTGTATTTGAAACGACAGATATTTCCTATCAACGGCACCTGGCCGGTCACGATCACTCAGACCCTTATTTCTTAAGGCCCGGCCACACGCATGCAATATTTCAACGTACCATCTTGCAACATTATTATTATTAACCAGACATCTTGACCGAACAAGCTTGTTCAAGAAATGATTTATGATATAGGAAATATTTCGCTTCAAGATTGAAGCCCACATTCCTCCAAAATTAAATCATTTACAATTCCAATACTCAATTCTGTCACAAGAGAAGCCAATTTCCTTCCACAGTTGCATTAAATATAACTCTTTGTCAATTTCTTTGTAACGAGTAATTCTCTCACTGATATGTTATTCCGTCGATAAACTCTAAAAGTTCCTTTTATAGATACACACGTTTTATGTTACAGGACCATGAAGGATAGAAACACTGCCTCTCGTGGGAAAATTTTCCTGCAAATTATCTTCCATGATAAGCGAGGCAGGATGTTTTTCCAGTTTCTCATATATTCCTTTGCATTAAAAGATCCGACAAACGTTCAGTATCCAGAAGCATCATGAAGCAATTAAGTATAGATAGGAGTGAAACCCGAAAAGGATCTAGCTCCACGGACAGCAAAGAGCTTGTCTTATTGTCAGCTTCACAGCTTGTCTCACTTCTCTAGTCTACCAGCAGTAAAGAAATGGATTTAAAGTAGAATTAAATTGAACTAAGCCTATCGTCAACCGCCAGAAGACGACTAAGTGCAATGAATCTGTGTTGCTTTGGCTGATCAAAGTTTCTATTATAAAATATGGTATATATCAAACAACTAATGCAAACTGCACCCACAGTGCACTGTACACTGCTTTTCTGTATTTCACCATGTTCAATGCATTTGGTTGGCTCAGCTGTTGTTGGACATGATGTTGTACTTCAGCCTGATGATGACTGAGAGTACGAAAAATCTTTGTGTACGAGGTGATTGAGATTAGCAGAAATAGTGATATGCTTATACGGCCAAGCCATAAGGCTATACGGTAATTTAAAATACAGCACAAACCAGTTAAACTTGATAAAACCCAAAAGGCAGCTACCATGATATATATGCGTTCCAAAGTTACAGTTTGTCTGTATCTCAGTCCCAACAATAGGGCTAGAAGCCTGTCCACGCTTATGGCCGTCATCGTCAATAAAGACACTCCGCAAAATGTATAGCTTGTTGTGAAGGTGGCGTCGCTTGCGTATCGACAAAGACTCCAGTTTTCGTTAGCCAAGGACATAAAATAAGTGGCCGTAATAGGCTGGCTAAAAATACCAACCAATAGGTCAGTTGTTGCCAGACAATGACACAAGAGTTTGGACGGCGGGTGAAGAGAAGATTCCTTGTGAAGGGCAACAAGGATAAGAGAATTCCCAAGAAATGTTGTGATGGAGAGGATAATCTAAACTGCAGCTGAGAAATAGATTGACTGTGGTTGTTATCCACCTGCCAAAGAAGGAGAGCACCGAAGATCTTTAACGCGTTTGTCTGTGCTTCATCTTTGGCTAGATTTGTTTCCGCCATCATTCTGTAGTCGTTTTGGTCTTTCCTTCAGGTTACGTGTGATTGCAACATGAAATGTTCCGTCTTGAGAGCACCTGCCCAGCCTAGAAATCACTTAAACTGCGTTGATCACTGAAACTGAATAATCATATGAATAATTATATGAAAACTTTTTCAATCGCGTTTACACGTTTGAAACGCTCGGGAATATTGTCATTTATGTCCAAAAAAAAAAATTGTGAACCATTTACATGATTTACATGGATCTTCTGATAATTTTGCAAAGTTTGTCTTTCACAAACGATTGATCCTTAAAAGAGAACTTTACGAGAAACAGCGATAATAAGGTTTGGTTTTAGTAAAGTAAAACGTTTTCAACAATGCCATGCACCGCAAATTGTTATTTGGTTAGAAATCCTTGATTCATATTTCACACGTCAAGATTTTTCATAAAAACGAAATCTCGAGTCAATATTTAGTTCTACCTTGGCGATATGTTTCTCAGTTCGATCGCCATCAGGAGATGCCTGTATAATTCTCCTTTGCTATTTCTACAGCTTTCTTTGTGAAATGGTTATGATAATCTAATGTTGGGTAATGATAAACACCCTCAAAATAATAACAATTCTTTCTCATCGCCTGTAATCTAGATGATCTCTTTATTTGCACAAAAAAGCTTAGCCTTTAATCCTTTCCGGGTTTTCATTGTTCAAACAATGTTATCGATGAGCTTCTTAGAAGTTAGTGAGTCCATCGGCACCATTTCGACTTTATCTTGGAATAAATGCTATAAATATAAGTCTTCTCCACTTCTACGAAATATTTTGCCATCAAACAGAAAAATGGAAATTTTTACTAGCTTCAGGAAAGACTACAGGAGACCACAGAATCTCGAAAGTTAATATATTTCACTGGGATTTCATCTATTGACACTTAGACCTAGTTCTTTAAACAAAGTTCAGTCGTTGTTTGACAAAACTGCGTTCTAAGCCATCTTCAATTTAGCTGAACCTTTTATCTTGGTATATATTTTTGGGAATAGTATCTAGAAGGTCGAGATCTAATAAAGGAAGGACATTTATTATGATTAATCTACCCTCTTATAAAGAACACCTGCTTTTCACTGCTCGCGTAGAACCACGGTTTGGGTTAGACCTTGTGTAAATAACCGGCCTTAAATTTTTGATGAAACACCATTTATTTTGGACTTTTTCGCTCAAAATTACGATTTCTTGTCTTTAACAAGACTTACTTTGAACGGTTCGTACGGCAATATCGTGTCAAAGTCATGCGCTTTATTTCATGCAGTGAGGTTAAAAATTTGAAATTATTTCCCACCCGTAAGAGAAGAACTTAAAAGTCACTCCTTCACTACCCTTTCGGAATCAATTTTATCCTATACATGTACTTTCTTATCACTAAGATAGTAAAACGAGTAAATAAAATCAAACTAGGGTCCCGTTTTTTGCCCTACTTTGCGTGGACGGCATTTTTTATGTCGATCAAATCATAGGTTGTTGTATTCAAAATAACTGCCGTCGCACGAAACTTACTTGTCCCAAGTATTGCCGTCAGGGATACGACTCTCTGTCCTTTAGCTGTGCGTACACTTGGAAATAAAGTTTATCCACAGAAGCCGCGATTGAAGTCATTGGTTGTTAATAAGATAAGGAATTTTTTTCGTATCAAGCCGACTGTAGTCAAACGCCTCCCTCAATTAAGATGAATACCATTCTCAAATTCGTACGATATCGTTAACGTGTAGATTCCATGATTTTGCTTTATCATGCGCAAAATGAGCCATGTTGATCTATGGTGAGAATATCTAAAAAGCTTTGTACAGCAACTTCATTAAGCTTCTTACTTCTTCCTATTCAATGACATATCCGGCAGGTGGCGTTATCTAATAGCATCGTCACGTTACTTACTCGCTTGAAACAACTAAAAAAGAGTATAATGGAAGATCTAACCTCGTGGACAGCAAAGCGCTTGTCTGATTGTCTTCTTAACTGCTCTCCTTACTTCACTAATCTTCCAGCAGTAAAGAAACGGATTTAAAGTCGAGTTAAAATAAACCAGGGTACTCGCTATTCCAAGAGCAACGACTAAATGTGATGAATTTCCTTTTATATGAGCCATCACAATTCCCACTAAAATTACTGGCACATAACAAGCAAGTAACATTAACTGCACCCACAGTGCACTGTACACTGCCTTTCTGTATCGCGCCATGTTCAATGCATTTGGTTGGCTCGGCTGTTGTTGAACATGATTTTGTATCTGAGCGTGATGACGGCGAAGAGCACAGAAAATCTTAGCATATGAAGCAATCGAGATTAATAGGCAACAGGAGATGACAATTCGACCAAACCAAGGCGCTATACGAGAATCTAACACGTTGCATAGAGTAGCGACAAAGGTTACAATACAAAGAGTAGCGACAATGATATATGTGCGCTTCAAAGTTACAATTTGTTTGTATCTCAGCCCCAAGAACAGGGCGAGAAGTCTGTCCACGCTCATGGCTGCCATTGTCAACAAAGACATAAGAGATAATCCATACCCTGAAATGGAGGCTGCTACCCATGCGAATCGACAAAGTCTCCACTCTTCGAAAACAACCGACAACCAAAGAGTAGCAGTGAGAGGCTGGCTTACAAGACCAACTAACAGGTCACTTGTTGCCAGACAACGGTACAAGAGTTTGGACGGCGGATGGAGGGAAGACACCTTGTGAAGTGCAACGAAGATCAGAGAATTCCCAAGAAATGCTGTCAGGGAAAAGAAAATGATGATTGTTGACAGACGCAATGAGTATTGTTCAAATTCGCCAGCCAAAGATGAGGAACACACAAGTTCTTCAAATGTGTTCACTTGCGTTCCATCTCCCATTGAGTTTGCTGCCGCACTGAGAGCACCTGCGCAGCGTTGATCACTTAAAATTTATTTTTTTTCAAAATAACCATATGAAAACTTTTTCAGTCGCGTGTAGTCGTTTGAAATGTTTGGAAATACAGTCATTTGTGTCCAAAAAATGGTGAACCATTTTTCTTAAAGCCTCACTTTTGCCTCAGCTATGATTTATCAAAACGCGATAAGAACAAAACATCCACGAATGTTAATATTTTATGGCGCGATGGACAATCCTTCGTTACTCAGACGAGCAAGAGCTGTCAATTTCTTCACAAGAGTCACATTAAATATAATTCTTTGTAAACTTCTTTGTAACGGGTAATTTTGTCACGTTATTCCATCGATAAACTCTAGAAGTTCCCTCCAAAGATGAAATAGTTTTTTTTTACAGCGACTTTTCCTTCAAATTATCTTTGTTAAATAGGAGAGGCAGGATGTTTGTCCCCTAACAGTGTTAAGCATCACAACTACACCACATGTATATTCAACTTGTTAGGTTCAATCTTTGAATGACTTTGCGCTAAGAGGTAAAATTAAAATAAAATATTGTGCTTTTTTTTCATCCCACAGTTTAAGGCAAAAACTAGCCTTACTAAGGAAAAGTGACGTTGATAGCCGCATAAATGAGTAAGTGTTGTTACAGCTTCTGGAAACCAAATTTGAATGGAAGGCGAAACGTCAATCAGTTGGAGACAACTTGAATGTTGACTGTGGACTTCTAACATAAAATCAGGGGCAAAAATGATTTAGTTTCTCGACACCACTGTCGTTCACTGAGTTCAAAAGCTTATGACAACAAGAGGATTCTGTAAGAACCGTTTGCAGTCAATTTCATTTCACATATGCACTGCTGAGAAAAAAGTAAATCTTCGATGTAATCCACCTCCAAAAGATGGGGCGCATAATATTTCGTTTAAACAGCACACGCCGAGCGGCGATGACTGAAACTTCCTTCCATAAACACATAAAGACTTCCTCATCATCGTTTGCTCATTCAAAGTGCGTAAGCAAATTGTCTGTTGTGCCAAAGAGTTGATTTCTTTTTTTCCTGTGACGAGCCTCTTGTATGAAATAGCAGTAAGAGGCAAATAGAGAGACATCTGTGATACCATTTTTTCACAAGTCGAAAAAGAATCCTTTTTCAGCTGATCGACCGTTGGAACCTGTGGACCTGTTCAAGAAGAAAACGGCTTTGAATGGAACATGAACTCGATAGACTGGAAAAACGTAAAATGATAAAAAATGTAAAAATAATAAAAATAAAGTATAACTAATCAGATCGTATGAAAGTGAGAGTCATGTGAAGCGCTCGAGAAGTATTTTAGTAATGTTAGGGTATGTGTATACGAAGTATGCTGAGTTTTTGGGAGATTTCTTCTCCAAGTCTATTAAGTATATTTTGGTTGCCTTTGGCCTCGCACCAGCTGCAGGCATTGTAATCAACAACGTATGAATAACTGGGTTTAGTTTCTAAGGAAATTGTGGTGCCACGTCGATGAGGGGTACAACGAGATAATTTGGTTTTATAATCCAACTGCACAAGGTAGAGTTCAAATAATGCGAATATATGTATATACCACATGTATACAGTTGGTTATTTTGTACTGTAAAAAAACCTGTTTAACCGGTCGGCTACGCACGCTGCGCTTCTCTATCCACTTAGCTTTTCCCGCCTTATGAGAAATGAGCAGAAAGACATGGCGAACAAAAAGCAGTTAGATCATAAATAACCTACTAGACTATTCATTGGTTTGTAGTATTGCCTAGTACTTTCACTCCTTGTTTGAATTTGACGAGCCTGTGGGTAAAGTCAAAATACGGCACACCTCATAAAAATATTCAGGTATGCCGATTTTAACGCGATATTTTCCTCCGTTTGAAGGTCATGCTCTTTTTCTGTTACAAAAATGAAAACATTAGGTACACAAAGTGTCCCATCTCAACCCGCCCATGCTACGTATACCTATGTTCTTATAGATGATGTCATGGATCAGGGGGCTGTGCACAAAGAATAACATTAACCAGAAATCTTGGGCTCATTTGATAAGTGTGGTGGTTTGTGGTCTTCGCGAGAGCCTCGTTGATTAAGGTCGAGATTTATCGGGACATGAAAGTTTCGCATTTCATTTTTTGTATTATTTTTAATTCAAACGTGTTTTTACGGATCCTTTACGCGCAACGAACACGCCTAACAACTCACGTTCCATCACGTACCATAAAAACAACGTCAAAATTCCATTAGAAGATACCCAATCATTGCACTACGTGAACATTAGGAAATTTTTCACGCGCTTGAATTGTATTCCATCAACCAAATTCGCATCTACGCGCGCCCGTGTATTATTCACTATCTATGACTCATTTCCTCGGGAAAGTTCACAATGCGTCATCAACTTTTGGTTTTCCTGAGAATGTCACGCAATGGTAAAAACATCATTATGGTCATGAAACAAAAAGTGAGTCATTTGCATCATTTTGGTGGCAGCGAGAAATTTTTAACGCTCGCCATCCCCAGCTCGAAGCGTTGCTTCTAGGTTATCGCGAGCTAAATTTCAGAGGAATAAAATCAAATATTCCTATGTCGTGAGACCACTAGGAAAAGAGTACCCTCTCGACACCGTTCGTGGTATAAGTCACCTTCTGAAGAACTCATCCAAATAACTTCGGTCTTGCAAAATTTTACAAATTTAACAGGTTCTTAAGGACGAATTCAACGCTCCATCGCTGACGAAACGTCGTTTTAAGGTAAGCTCTGAAACAATTAATTAGACCAAGAGGATTTTTGTCTCACCCACTCGCAGTGTTCCATCAATAACATTGCCAGTTTGTATTAAGAAATAAAAACTTATTGCATTGTAAAATATAGACAATCCGGTATGAGGCGTGGGGTCTTGGTTTCATATAGGTCTTTCAGCAAAGTGAGCCGGCAACAGCACACTAGACCATATGATCGCAGACAAGAGCAAGTTATGAAAATGTTATCGATTATTGATTATAAACTACCGTCTACGTGTTACATCCTGTTCGCATTATAGAAATTGAAAGAGGAAGCAGTTGTCACAAACACATGTTTCGAGGGTAAGATGTAAAACGCTCCTTGCTTATTAAATGATAAAAAACTTGGCAGGTATTTTAACTCAGAGAAAATTTTAAGGCGACAAATCAAAATACGAATTCTTTAACACATCATTTGACCTCTTTTGAAAAAATGTAGGTTATATTAAGAACACAGCGTAACTGAATATTTATCAGCACACCTGTAGAAAATGAAAATAAGCTGAAATCCAGCTCACACATAGATTTTGGAATAAATGATCGTCTTCTTTGCTCTTTTTTTTTTGTCCTACATAAATTAACGAGTGAACCACATGCTCCTCGTTCTTGTTCGTCATAACTTGAGTCGGAAATTGAACGAAAATTTGAATGAGATTGCCTAATTGCATTTGCTTGTTCCACATAAAATCATGAGTGCTACCCGTTGGTGATTTTCATTGAAGGCATTCTGGGTGGCGAATATTTATCTATTAGTTTAGTTTGAAATGACAGAAAGAAATAGATCCTGAACGATCTTGACAGGAAAATTTTGAAGATCCGCAAAGATCTTGGCAAGAAAATTAAAGATCTTGGAAAGAAAATAAAAGATCCCTGAAGATCTTGACAAGCAAATGAAAGATCCTTGAAGATTTTGAACATTAATTTTTTATCCCACACATTTCTTTATAATTGTTTCTTGGCCAAGGCCTGGAGAGGTCATGTATGATCGATATCTCGGATTTCTGGTAATGGAAAACTACCTTGTTTTCTCAAATAGAGTGAATTAATACTTAGAAACGAAATTACCATCAGAAGAGCAAGTAGAAGGAGGCAGTAGGGGGGGGTGTGCAGATTTTTTGGGATATGTATATTTCTTTTTATTTTGCTTCCCTGACCTAGTCTACTGATTACAAATTTTATTTCGCCAATTAAATTCCATTTTGCCAAATTAAACTTCGCTCCATCACGTGTCATTTCCTTGTAAACAATCTGCATTTAATCACGTATTCTAATCGCCATGTCCAACCCCACTGCTTAAATACAGACTTTACCTAACTACCTACTACAGCCTCTGGTTTAAATAATTTCAATTGCTTCTGTTACGAATTATACGAACTTGCAACATACAGATGATGATTTTTTGCCCAATTTATCTCAGTCAATTAGGACTGTCTTTTGTAAATCTTGAAATTTTCAAAAATCCAGACAGAGGCGGAGTTTTCTATACTAATGTCTGAGCACTTTGTGGGATTCCCGCAATCTGGCGGGACGCGTAATTAAGCACACAGTGGTAAAGGGCCCTTCCGCAGTAGCTACAAGACGCTGACAAAACTTTTTTCTCTTCACCGAAAATCACATCAAAATTTGTCTTTGCTAAATTTCAAGTGTGCTGCACGTATCAGCACCCCTCGGGGAACCCCTATATATAAGAGGGCGAGGATGCGCGCCGGAATTTCGAAAACGACCCCTATAAAATTATAAAAGGCACCTGAGTCTTATCCGTCTGGGAGTGGCAACAACAGATATCTACCCCTATAAAGTATCAATTTAAACTCAAAAAAATTGAAAAATCCCAAAAATAAGAACTCCTTTATCGGTGTGCTCTAGAGGCTCAAGTCAGATCATTAAAATCGTCCTAGTGCTTATTAAATGCTTATTTCAGGTATTTAATTGAGCGAAAAACATCTTAAAAGGTACCAGCTAGGTCTCTGGCAGTCCACTAAAGTTGGAGACACCATAAAAGGTACCAGATCACTGATTTTGACCCCTGAAAGGTACGACAAGCATCCTCACCCATTTCTGATCGCCTCCTCCCCACCAACCCTGTCAGCACCTAAAAACAAAAGATGCGATTTGCCAACTACGAGCTGTCAGTCTCATAACTCGTAAAATTCACGTAAAGTGGTTATTTACCTATAAAAAACTTTAGGCACTGATCTGTCAGA